ATTAGTTGCTTTTATTGAATACATAACTTTTGAAATCCATTGTATGCTAGGCATATGGATGACTTAACACATTTTAGATATATACCCATCCTTACAAGTATCTATTAGGGTCAATGACTTTGGAGAACTCCACCATGGTCTTATAATCTGGAAAAGAATGTTTGGATGTCAGCAGCTGGATCTCTAGTTCCTGTCTCTGAAATGGTATCATATTAGCTTCAAGGGAAATTTTCTTTTCTTTGGAACACACATACATATACACACCCAACACATACTCATCTCCAGGAATTGAACTTTAAATTTTTTGTTTGTTTTCTGTATGAAGCAAGGTCCCACTGTGTATCTGTGGCTTGTCTGGAACTGATTACGTATACCAGCTGAACTCCAACTCACAGAGACCTGCTGACCTCTTCCTCCTAAGTGTTGGGGCTAAAGGCATGCATCACTGGGCTCAGCATATGCTTTTTGTTGTTGTTGCTGTCGTTTTGTTTTTCGAGACAGGGTTTCTCTGTGTAGCTTTATGCCTTTCCTGGAACTCACTCTGTAGCCCAGGTTGGCCTCGAACTCACAGAGATCCGCCTGCCTCTGCCTCCCGAGTGCTGGGATTAAAGGCGTGTGCCACCACAGCCTGGCTTATGTGCTACTTTTAAAAAAATGGACATATAGCAGAATTTGTGTAAAGTTTCCTTTTATTGTGTAATAATAATGGTGGGAGATTAGGTAAACTACTCCTTTAAACTTTAACAAAAAAATATCCTTACAATGATACACAATTACATTACCTTAGGCTAGTTATCAACAGCTGTCTTTGACTAAGAAGCAAACATGTTATCATACTTACAATATGATTTGATCTTACAGGAGTGCCAATGTTACAAACATGACTTAATCTACCATTTAATAGCAATTACTTTCTGAGTTAGGATGGCTGGATGTGCTCTTGTTGAAAAGATGGGGCATTTTTTTTTATTGTTAGAGGCTTGAGAAAAAAGAAGTCACATTTATTTTGTACTTAGTAAGTTAACTGTGAAGAATGTGAAAGGTAATGTAGACATGTAAAATATGAAGGCAAGAAGATAGTGGAGGAGACTTATAAAAAGCATTTGTAGGGTTGGAGAGATGGCTCAGAGGTTAAGAGCACTGGCTGCTCTTCCAAAGGTCCTGAGTTCAATTCCCAGCAACCACATGTTGGCTCACAACCATCTGTAATGAGATATGGTGCCCTCTTCTGGCCTGCAGTGATACACGCAGACAGAGCACTGTATACATAATTAATAAATAAAATTGATTAAAAAAAGCATTTGTAATTAAGGGAAAAGGTTGGTTGACATGAGATGGTATTGACTGACTGATGATAATTTAAGGAAAATTGTGGCCATAGAAGTAGAGGATGCCAAGAAGAACTGAGGAATGGAAGGAATGATGCAGAATGAGCATAAAAGGCAGGTAATGTAAAACCCAGGCTTAGTATTTAACCTGGTAGAAATAGTCAACATTAATGAAAAATGTAATACTAAAACAACAGAGCTGTATGTAGGATATTGAGATTATGAATTATGTGTCCATAAACACAATTGACAATAGTACAATAAATATTATCCAAAAAGTTGGCAGTGATGAAATTTTAAAAACGTGGCAAGGTTTGAATCCAGATAACAAAACAATTTTCTATTTATATGAAGGATTGAGTAGTTGAGTTGGGGACAAATGAAGAAAGCAAAGTATGAACATGTTATATTCAGAAAAAAAAAAAACCAATGTAATCCTTCCATATCAGAATCTTTGTGATGTGGGACTCATAGAGTCAGAAAATAGCTACTGTAATGACTTGAAAGAAACTGACTAAATGGTTTCCTGATGCTAAATTCTCCATTTCCAAATCTGGTACATTGGATTCAATTTTTGGGATGGGAATCAGTTAGACTTGGGTTAAAATTCTTTCTAATTGTGTTGCAAAGTAAAAATGAATCAATCAATCCAGCATTTGTTACTTAATGACTGTGTTATTATCATGCCAGTACATTAGACTGTCTCTTCAGAAAGCTAATAAACCCATTTTCCTTCAGTGATTGAGATGGAATCCAATGCCTCATTTGTGCTAGACATATGTTCTACCAGTGAACCATATGTACCAGTCACCTATCAGCTAATCTTTATTTCCACGCTCTTCTTTATACTCTTTACTTAACATTACTTCCAAGACTGTTTAAAAAATTCCTTCTTAGAATCAATATACTGACAAAATGGCTAAGAACAAAAGAAAGAAAGGAAGAAAGAAAGAAGGAAAGAAAGAAAGAAGAGAGAAAGAAAGAAAGAAAGAAAGAAAGAAAGAAAGAAATGGGCTCACCTTTGATCATTAAATTATGCATTTTTTAAAAGTCAAAAACTTCTGAAAATCCAGGCATTTCTATTAACAGTTATCATCCTTGGCAGAGGAAAAAGACTTTGGGGAACTAGGAATATAGGGATTGGATATTTTCTGAAGTGGTTGTCACCTTTAGAAGATTAGGTAATTATTTAAGACATAAAGGAATGTCGCTAAGGTTAGGACATTGTATGGCCTTCTGAAAAGGAGATTTCTGGGCATCAGGGAGGGGAAGGGGATGATAGAAGCACCCACGGTGTGAGGCAGAATCTGGAAGACTAAGGATTTGTGTTCCTTTTCTCTAGAAGCCACCATGCAAGTGCTGGGAACTTAACCTGGGTCTTCTGCAAGAGCAGCCAGTAGTCTTGACCACTGAACCATTTCTATAGCCCCAAAGTGGTTACATTCTTAATATTACTGTAAAGGATTTCATATAAAACAATGTTTCTAGAAGTTGTAGGAGTCGGGTCTGTTGTAGTAAGGAGGATTATATAAGGACGGGCTCCTGGTCACCATCTCAGCAAGGGACAGGTCTGTTTTAGCCCAGGTAGGGTCATTGCACTTGCAATGTGAATTCTTTCTCATAAAACCATTTCAGCACTCTCAGCCTTAGCAGTCTTTGCTTTCTTTTTCTCTTTAGCAATATTACGTGTACATTCATCTTACCCAGATGACAATTAAGTTTATTAGCTTGGCTTTCTTTGGGCTTATTGCATTCACAGGAGCATCGCAAAGAAAGCCCTAGTACTTAGATCCCTGATTATGTTCAAGATGGCCTGAAGGACAGGCTTTAACAAATCCTAGGGCATTTATAAACTAAATTAGCTTTCTGAGAGAAAATTTAACATAATAAAATATTGTTTGTTATTGTTTTTTTGCTTTGTCTTTTCACCTAAAACAATACAACCCCCCAAAACAACAACAAAAAAAACCAAAAAAACTGAAGGCCCAAATCCCCCCAGAACACCAAAATCCATTCAGCTTGTACAAGTAATCCACTGCAGTGTGGATAAGTAGCAAGGCTCCTCCAAATAAATTTCAAATCACAGAAATTCAACTGAATATGGTTCTGATTTTTTTTATTAAATTCTATCATTTTCTACATTCAGAAAATGATCAATAGAGCTTGCACTAGAAATTGATGGTTTGGGCAAAAGCATTCATATCATTGTGTACAAAATTAAACATTTAAAATAAGGTTAATAGATAATGTGAGACTTGTTTAGATAAAGTGCTTTTTAAAATATCATCTACTTCTAACTGCACAAACTGTAACATACCTTCAGACTGTGCTGAATATATTCAATTTTAAAGATAATAGAGATTGTGGAAGTAGATTTACTTGGTCACTTATAGTAATAGTTGAATTATAATTTTGAAGAAATCTTTTCACTTCTGAGAGCCTTGGTTACCTTACAAATGAAATGGAGATTATGATACTGAACTTGTAACTTTTATGAGGCTTAATAGGGATAATTTTAAGGTGCCTGGCACACAGATTGGTGTGCTCATATTGACAGTTTTTTCATATGTTCTTGGAACAACCAAAATATACTAATTTATGTGAACAGGGGAGAAAATATGAACCAAAAACAACTAAGAAAAATTATGGCTTTGAAAAAACTCCCCCAAACTATAGTGTTGTTGCAGCCTGGAGTTGCTGCAGGCCGGTGTTCCCCTTCATGGCAGCAGGAGGGTAAATGGAGAGGAGTGTTGGAAATGCCAATAAACTGCTCCTTTTTACAAGTTTGACATCTGACAGCTTTGCCAATGGACTACTCTAGAGGACCCTTGAAGTATGGCAACAGGGACAAGGTTGCATTGTCTTTTGCACTGCTTAGTGCAAAACTGACAAAGAGAAATGCTTATCAACAAACCTTAATCATTTGTATTATTTATTGTCACTTTGCAAATGCTATCTAGTTTGCAAGTTTGACTTACGTTTTCCAAATGACCACAAAGGAACACAAAAGCCCTTTAAGTTCAGTAATGAATGGTATTGGGAGGTCAATTTTATGAACCCTAAATTCTTTTTAGAATGTACACATATTCTTGGCTGGCCAGAGGTGAGTTTCTATAAAAGCAATGTTTACTTGTTCAGTATGAGCAAAACTGTTAGCTGTGTTATTATAAAAACAATGGGCATTGTACTTTCTCTGTTGGTCTATCTTTGGAATGACAGTCTCTAAAAATAGAGAGATGGACAAGACTGAAGAGCTTCTTGGAAGAATGCTAAAATAGTCAGTACAGTTTAATAAAACAGCCATCAGTCTAAACAAGAACAAATTGAAATTCACTTCAACCTATTCAACTAGGGAAGACAAAAGAAAAACACCTTACCTATAGCAAAGTAAAGCTGGTCTTTCAGTACTGATTACAAGGTGAGAGAAAATGAACATGCTGATGGCATTGCAATCAGTGTCTGTAATTTGTAAGTGCTGTTTGGAATACAATTCTAAAAAGGGTAGATGTTACTAGACAGGTTGCAGAGAAAACTACCCATTGACTCTAAATTACCACACATATTTCCATACAAAAATGATCTTACAAAGATATGCATACCTTTTCTCTTGCTGGAATAAAATAAAGGCAGGAAACAAGCAGAAGGAACAATAGAGCAAGGAAGTCATCTTACCTCCATCCAGTTCCTCAGCTCCAAAATGATTCCTGTAGAATAGCATGATTTCTATCTTGTAACATTTATAGATGGTTACCAAACAAACAAGCAGCAAGAGAATAGCACCAAGCCCTCCAGCAAGTTCAACGGTGTACATTAACTCTAGGGGGAAAAGAAGCAATGGAGAATTATACATAATCACATATAAAAACCATGGAATTTTATTTAGCTTCATGTTTTTGCAAGTAACTCCAGATGTGATATAACAATCTCATTTCCTTTTCTGTGACAATTGTTTTGTTTTCTTTTTTTTTTTTTTTGAAATTGGTTCTCACAGCATATCCCAGGCTGACTTTGAACTTGTGACCCACCTGCCTCAGCCTCTCAAGTTCTGGGATCATGGGCCTGTACCAACATATTCATCTTGTGTGAGGATTTAATCCATCTTTAACTTTCAATTCTGTTTCCGTGGTAATTAGATAAGGTAATGTGTGACAACGTTGCTTAGTAACACGGCTTTGGTAAAAATGAACTTGGTTGACACATTGCATCTGGACTAAAAATTGTAAATATCTAATTGAAAACTTCAGTATTGGATTGGTCTCAGTGCAACAACCTCTCCATGTGCACATATCCCTTGAGGAGGTCTGGTGAACTATGCTTTCAGAATTCATAAAAAGAAATGAGATTTTAAAGATAGGACAGCTTTATGATCACCTGAATATGAATTTTGATCTTTTTTTTTTACCTGAACTGCTACTTGGGAGTTGGGTTCAAGGTAAAAAGAGAGGGGCCAAATATCATAGTTCCTAGAGGACATGTACAGTGCTGCCTAGACTGTTGGCAGAACTATCTAATGAATGCTATCTGCTCTCTCCTGCAAGAAGCGATGACTTATTGTTCTGAAAAGAGTACTGTCCAGGTGTCTTAGAGTAATCTTGAAGGCAGAAAGCAAAACTGGATTGAAAAAGTAGGTCTCCTAGAGGATATCACAACAAAATGTGCTGGAAACATTTTTTAATTAAGATACTACATTTGTTTTCTTATTTTTCTTTACTTTCCCTTATATTATGCTAGCCATGCTACTCTTAACAAGTCTAAAGGAGGCATTTTTGACATTTGCTGCATACAAGCTCTCTTTATCATACTGAATGTTGATATTATAACAAAAATGATAAGACAAAATTTGGAATAAAAGAGTTACATTTTCTCCTTTAGAGCTTATGAAGATCGTAACAAAGTTTAGGTTGCTGGTATGTAAGCAGTAAGTATCCATATACATATATGGAAACTCACTCTGCCCTAAGTGTCTGTGTATGAATGTTGTCACTGATTACCATAGTCTAATGTCATTACTGTTGGGTAGCTGTTGTTCCCTGAAGTTAAGCTGGAAAAGCACTAGTTTCTTTAACTCAGTAAGTTTAGTGCTGTGTGTAGCAGTTTCGTCCCAGACGAAAACCTTACATCTTGGAAGGAAGCTCAGTGACACAGAGGATGTTAAAGGGGACGTGAAGCAACAGGACGTCTTAGGGAAGTAGAACATCCCCTTCTTAAGTTCAGGAAGTAAACAACTCAAACCAGATTTGCTAGGCCTCTCCTAGCCAGAGTAAGCAATAAAGACACCCTCACCCGGTCCACCCCCAAGTCACTATCAGGCAAACTAAGCTGCAAAGACTCTGAGACCAGAGCAGCTGCCTGCAGACTGACTGTGCAGCGTGCTTTCAGGTTTCCAGCTTTCGTGAGCTGTCACTCATGCTGGGGTGGCCTTTGCTGTCATTGGAGTTATTTCTGCTCCTGTTAGTAACACTAATAGAACTCGTTGGTTCACCGCACTAATCCTTGGTGGGACCCATATTTTGGTCTGTCATCAGTTTCCTAGCTGGAGTGACTAGACTTTTGTTCACATCTCCCTAGGAATAGGGTCACATAACATACAGTCATTCCTGAAATTAAAACACTAAAATAGTGGTTTAGATTCTGTAATTGGGAAACTGTGAAGGAGTGGGTTATATAATTTACAGCACAGTCAATAAAAGCTTAGATTAAGAACATTAAGATAGTTATGACTTGCAGTAATACATATTGTTAGGTAACAAGTTCCTTCCTAAATTCTCATAAATGGGGTAAAATAGTAACATCAATGAGACAGTGCAGAGAAAATAATTTGGAAAGTATGGTCATCATTTTCTCACAAGAATGTGTGTGTGTGTGTGTGTGTGTGTGTGTGTGTGTGTGTGTGTGTGTGTGTGTATGTGTGCATGCTTGTATGTGATAACATTTTTTTTCTGTAACAATTAAGAAAAATAATCTCAGTCACATTTCTCATTATCTAGTTCTTTATTCCTAATGTAACAGTTTAATAAAGTCAATACATATAACTATTATTTAATCAAGTATATTTTTTGTATTTAGTAAAATTAAATGGGAGATTGAAGAAATATTTTATTAAAAAAGACCTCACTATGAATTTAAGATAGAAAAAGTCAAATAAGAAATTAAATATTTCAGAGTCAAAGTAAATTAATATGAAACAATGGAAAATAATTACAGTAGCTTTATCTGTTAAACATTGTAAGGAACCATACAAGAGACTAGTGCAAAGGTGCCAAGAACAAAATATAAAATGTTCTTCAGAATAGTGTTTCCCTCCAACTGTGTGAGCAGAAAGAAGAAGTGAGTAGGTAATACTGTGGAGTGCTTTGGGTCTTTGTTCTCAGAATACCAGTTGAATTTCACCACACAGAGAAACCTGAATGAAAGTACAGCTTATATCCACAGGATGGATCAGAACATCCTGATTTAAAACACACTGGACATTGTGGGAGAGATAGTATTTTGATCACGACCACTTTTGTGGTCCAAGGAGCCAAACCCAGGACGTCATGCTAGGTGAATGCTCTGCCACTGAAATACATATGTGGCCCACATTGTGACTTTTTTAAGGACCTGTTTTTTTTTTATTTATACTTTGTGCTGGCTAGTTTTATGTCAACTGAAACCAAACCAATGACATCTCAGGGGAAAGAACCTCAACTGAGACATTCCCTCCATAATATCAGGCTGTAGGCAAGCCTGAAGGTCATTTTCTTAATTAGCTATTGATTGCGAGGGCACATCCCACTGTGGGTGGTACCACCCCTGGGCTGGTGGTCCTGTGCTCTGTAAGAAAGCAAACTGAGCAGCCATGGGAAGCAAGCCAGTAAGCAGCATTCCTCCATGGCCTCTGTATCAGCTCCTGCCTCTAGATCCCTACCTTGATTTCCTGTCCTGACTTCCTTATACAGACTGTGATTCAGGATATGTAAGTCAAACTCTTTCCTCATCAAGTTGCTTTTGGTCATGATGTGTTATCACAACAATAGAAACCCTAAAGTAAGACACATAATTTACAACTAAAATTTCTTGCATAAGAAAAGAATGGAAATTTGATTAAGAATACTTAATTCCCAGTCTTAAACATTGCTTATGAGAGAACATAATTGTGCTATTACATTGGGAACGTTTTCTAATAAAGTGTTCAATGTCAATAACAATTCCACTCCTATGTAGTTATCCAAGAGATATAAACAGATACTTTCAGGAAACATTGTGCAAAAATGTTTGGAGTAGTCTTATCCATACTAACCAGAATGGGAAACAACCCATCTCATTAACAGGAGATGCTGGATAAACTAGTGTCAGCCCATAAATAGATTTTATTCACCAAGCAAAAGAAGAAACTAAAGATATACACCATGTAAAAACTTATAGGGTTACACTGGGTAAAGGAAGCCAAACACAAAGTACTATTTACCATATGGTTGTGTATAGGAGCAGCCTATTACAATGCACAGTGATATAACCCAGAAACTGTATTTTTCTTGTGGGATAAGTGAAGGGAAAGTTTATTGGAGAGGGGCAAGGGGGAACTTTGCAGGGTAAAGGAAATAGTTTTTTTTTTTTAATCTTGTCTTGGGGTGGATACACAAGCGCATGCATTTGTTAAAATTTATTGATCTGATCACTTGAGGTCTATGAATTTTATCTTATGCCAATCATAATTCAATTCTTTAAAGTTCTGATTGCTTATGAAAAGCTATTACAATTTCTGACCCAAGGCCTGTGTGGGGAGACACTCTAAGGAAATATTGGAGTCAGAACAGCTGTTCTCCTGTAGATAAGTAGCCAAGCAAGGAATGATTTTTCTACAGTGCCTCCAAGTCTACCATTTGTAGCTGGAGGTATAGCATAGGCCCAAGCTTGTAACATAGTATAAGTACCATATCTACTTAAATAGCTTTAGAGACAATAAAAATGATGCCCGAAGCACATTCTTAGCAATTCAATTAAAAAAAGACTCATTTTTCTTTAGGTGGTGTTCATAATCTAGGTTTCTACATACTTTCAAACAGCTATTTTTTCTTGGTACTTTTAAAAATTGTTGTATCTTTTATTTTTGAAATTATAATATAATTATAACATTTCTCCCTTCCCTCCCCTTCCTCCATACTCTCATATATCCATGTTTATTCTCTTTCAAATTCATGGACAATTTTTTTTTTAGAAATTGAATATGTACAAAAGTAAGTTATTTTTATTTCTAGAGAACATTTGAGCTATTTATTTTTATAGAGGTCATGAGTCACCAAAGTTGTACATAATATCTTAAATATTCCACATATTTAGACAATCATAGTATTGTATGATATGTAATAAGAAATAATAGGGTTGATGTAGCTTTGCAATTAATATACAAACATGAAAAATTACATATACTTAAAAACTGAGCAATGAATAATAATAATTCTTTTGAGGTGCAGTCATTTATTACTACTAATAAGAGCATGTGAAAACTGGTCCAAAGAAACAGTATTTGCAACTTGCTGTTTTACCCAAAATCTTAAGCATATGTCAAATTTCTCTTCAGATGCTCTGTGATGCTATGTGTAAAAACATGGTGTTCTGTTCTTACGGCATCCTTCGGAGGAGGTCAGGAATTATACTTTGTCTTTTCTCACAAGGCACACACCAGTGCCTGCTCCTCTGTTGCTCTATCTTATATCAGCATATCTATTGTAAATGTACACAGATTACTTGCTATTTATTAAGCTGACCTAAAAAATTTGTCACCTTGTGAAATGCTCTCAAGGAAAATGGTGCATTAGATTTAGTCTGTATATTCC